AACTAGACGTATATATTGCCACGGTCAAGAGAAAAAGAAATTCGCTTTAGTGCGAGTCGTTCCTCCGTCGTGGAGTTCTCTATTTGATGAAAGAAGGGATTACTGGTATTTACACCATTTGATTCTTTGCGGTTGACCGCTAGCGAAGCCAATTAACGTCAAACTAGGTTGTTTTAACTTTTGTCGGGCCTGGCTCTTTTTTTATTTTATTCTCATCGTCTAAGCGGCCATTCAATTCTCTCGTCGAAATATCTTTGTACGTTGCGTATCGTTTGCTTTTCTCGACAGAATTTTTCTCGACAGATTTTTGGATATGTACTTCAATTTTCTCTCTCTTCGGTAACTTTTGACGGAATTCAATAACTGCTGGATCATTATGAAACACGAAGAGAAATAATCGATATCTAAAAAATTAAAATTATTTCAACTTTTCAAAAAAGAAGATATGTCTTGGTTACAAAAGCACATTTTTCTTGGCACCCTATAAATATAATTTAGGATTCTCCAAGAGAAACTCACTTAATCACATCGAATTTTCGAAGAGAAAATTTTTATAGTAATATTTCATAGTTTAGCGAGCAAATATTTTTTCCAAATATATCTTTCGGTTCATTTATATAAACCACTAAAAAGATTGGTAAATTACATTAATCGTTTTATTACTTTCATTACTTTCTAACCGATATTTCTCGTATCTTCATTAACTACATGATACACGTTCCTATGTGTATATGTATTTATGAAATATCGAACTGGTACTGCCAGCGAGTAAAAGGTTCTTATTGCAATCAAGGCAGTGTTTTAATTAAAATTTTCGCCGCTTACTCATGGAAATTAATTTCACGAATTTCGTTATACGACCAGAGCATTGATGATTTTGTATTTATTCTCTCATCTTGGCGGAATCATGATTTCATAAAAATGAAAAGAGCATAAAAAGGTTAGTTTATGAGTATCTGCAAGCAATTAGTGTATTTTGGGACCAAAACTCCGAATTAAACGATCTCTTCTGTCTTGATTAGTGGTGAAACCACTTCAATGAGGAAGGACCCATTCTGATGTTAGCTCGTCTTGTGAAACGTTTGCAAGCTTGAAACCAAGAGATTACGTTCAAGGGGCATAAATGATGTCCCTTGTCAACGGTAGGGTAACTCCAGTTCCATGCAGTTAACAAAATATTTGGAACAGTCTCTGTACATTGTGGATTACTCTCCTAATACATCAAGGATGATTTTCCATGATGACAGCCCTTTTGCCATTTTAATTTTCACGCGTTATATTTGATCAAACAAGAACGCTATTCTTGATATCATTCAGAATATTAAAGATTGTAGAATATTAAAGAATATTAAACATTTTAGAATACAAATTCGGTCGAAAAATTGATTTGAAAATACACAATAGTATATTTTTAAACATTCCGCAGCCCTTTCTTCTTGTACAATTTCAACAAACAATCAGCATCTCTTTTGTTTCCATTTTCATTTATTTAATGCAGAGAATCGAATCATCGATCGTTACACAAACATCGATGGAATGTAATAAATAGTTTTTCTTTTCTCGAGTGAACAAATTATAGTACATAAAACGATCATAGGCTATATTTTTCTTCCCAATTTTTTCGCCCGAATCAGTTTTGATAATCTTCTAGAAAAAGTTTTGTTATTCGATGAATTATTCGTAATTAAATTTTCTCTTTAGCATTATTCATAGAAACATATTGCATATTGGATAATTACTTTGTCAAGTAATTTGTTAAATATCAGTCCTCGTCTCGACGAACTTTTTAATCACTATTCAATCGTTTCGATATTCCGAGATGTTTGATAAATATCTTCGAATTTTCCATGAAATCTAGACTTCAATGTTTACGTTGTCAGAAATAAATTGTTGTTACCTCGTGTAACTGATGTCTGATAATTCACGTTGTTCAACGGCGAAATGTTTTCGCAACGTGTAATCCCTAATCGCAGTATACATTAGTTTTACAAAATATCAGTGAAAGTCTGCGAAAGTACTGTTAAAGGCAATTTACACTGACACGATGGTAATATTGAATAAATTCTACGAATGACTTTAAAAGCCTGCTACTATCACGTGACATTCATAGTACAGATTATCGTCCGGATTCAACGAAGGAAATTCAATTTATAACAAATTCATAATTACTTTCACAATAAAATCGTTGCAGAACATATATCTGTTGTTCGAGTAATTAGAAGTACTAGACCTATATAGTTACCGATAGATCTTTGAGAGTTCCACGAAATTGTAGATATTTAGCGAAGTAACATGTAGTGCTCCATTTAGAATCGAAACTGGGAGGGAAAGGGGAGAGAGAGAGAGAGAGAGAGAGAGAGAGAGAGAGAGAGAGAGAGAGAGAGAGAGAGAGAGAGAGAGAGAGAGAGAGAGAGAGAGAGAGAGAGAGAGAGAGAGAGAGAGAGAGAGAGAGAGAGAGAGAGAGAGAGAGAGAGAGAGAGAGAGAGAGAGAGAGAGAGAGAGAGAGAGAGAGAGAGAGAGAGAGAGAGAGAGAGAGAGAGAGAGAGAGAGAGAGAGAGAGAGAGAGAGAGAGAGAGAGAGAGAGAGAGAGAGAGAGAGAGAGAGAGAGAGAGAGAGAGAGAGAGAGAGAGAGAGAGAGAGAGAGAGAGAGAGAGAGAGAGAGAGAGAGAGAGAGAGAGAGAGAGAGAGAGAGAGAGAGAGAGAGAGAGAGAGAGAGAGAGAGAGAGAGAGAGAGAGAGAGAGAGAGAGAGAGAGAGAGAGAGAGAGAGAGAGAGAGAGAGAGAGAGAGAGAGAAAGGATTTCGCTGTTACATAAATATGTACTTTACAGGTCAGCATCTAGTCTTATGTATCTTCTTCTCGGCTGTTTGCATCAGCCGGTCGTAAACGCTCTGTTACCTTTTTGTTTCCAACAGTGTTGATAGCCCCAGCTGCTGTTCCCCTCTCTTTAGGTAAGCAAAGTTGCAGAGACAGACAGGGAGAGAATTCGACAGAAAAGAAAATGGAGTAAAGGGACAGAAGGAAAGAGCAAGATAAAAGTAAAACGTTTGGAAAAAAGCGGAGAGGTGGAAAGGAAAGAGATGAAAAAGATGCGAAGAGAAACTCTTTGGAACACGTTTGGTCGTTTCATCGATCGATATACTCAAAGAAACTATTGCTGTTAGGCAGACATCGCTAGCATTACCAAATGATTAAACTATATTTCCCTGTTCTCCTCTTTCGAATTTTCCTGGCAAATTTTGCTCGCCTGTGCGCACCACACTTCAACTTATCAAACGATTAATATTTTCTACGCACAGTCGTCGTTCGAGCATTTAACATTCACTGTTTCTTAGTTTTAGGCTGGTTTACTAGAAGATTGATGTATACAAATCTTTGCTCTTTGAATTGAAACTAAGCGAGTCCAAATTTGTGAAGGGCAATGTACGTTCGTAACAGTTGGATATTAATCGCGTACGAATCGAATCCCAAAATTTAAATAGCTAGATTATTTCCATCGAATGTTTGCGATAAACGGATTATGCAGTCGAGTAGCTTCTAATGATTAATTGGCTGTTTAGGAAATCGAGTGGGAACGATTCTGCGGGATGTGATTTTATCGATGAAGATAGAGTAACGCGATGGTTACGCGAGGTAATTTCGCCAGGATCTGTCTGCGTGAAGTATCGAGTTGAACTTCACTGCATGGACGCGATCTATCGATGTTGCATCTCTGTAGTGGCAGTTTCACGAATTGGTTGTTTTTGCATTACGTAGAAAAGTGTCATCGGATGTTTTTGAACAATGTGGAACGTCATATCGAACGTGGTTATTTTTTTGCTGAAAGGAAATAATTTTATTTTCAATCGCACTCAGAGAAAATCGAGATCGATCTCGGTGGATAGATCCTTCGTTAAAATTCATGCTGGTAAAAGCGTAACTCCGTGTTCTTTTGAAAATAGTGGCTAAAATAGTAGTTAATAGAATAGAGAAACATCAGAAAAAAGAAACTTTGGTATTTCTAAAGCTAACCTTCTTCAAGAGTAACGGTCGGAACTGAACAGTCATCGAAAAATAGCAGAGTTTACTTTTTCCCGCGTAGTTCGATCAAAAATGATTATCGAAGCGTATCGCTTTCAGAGAATATATATGACCGATCGAATATCCATTTTAAATAATTCATCGGTATGGAAAATCAAGAGGCCGCTGCATATTCAAAAGAATCGAGTTATAAATGTTCCAATTCGACGAGGTCCCGATCGTCAAATCGATTTTCTCATATGCTCAATCCGCCAGCTATCGCTCAATTACAGTCCGAACTCTTCCCTATCGAAAGAGACTGTTGTTTAGAGCTTCTCTTGTACGTGCAGACAAAACTCTTTCTACACGCATACTCTTCTTACACGATGATAGAAATTCTCATACACGACACTTAATTGGACTAAATCCTAACCCTAGAACGATATACGTTAGTGAGCGAATTGGGCGTCCACTCGAGAAATCATGGTGGACAAGGCCCGTAGGACATTTTAAGCTCGATGTTCGGCACATCATTAGAGTTCTTTCTCCGGACGGGCAGAAAAAAGCGTCTAGGAGAAAGCGGAGTTGACACGACGGTCGACAATGTTTTATCATCGAACGACGATCATCTTCGACTCATGTGGTTAGGGAAATCACAAACACACAACATTGTTCGGGCGAATCGCGAGCATCGACACTTGACTCGAGCTCTCGTTTTCTCATTTCAAACTGTGAACCGAGAGGGCAACACGCCGATGTAAGGATATTATCATGAGCACCATGGAAACCCTGACGACCTGTCAATCGCTAAGCTCTCGCCGAAAGTGGCCATTTTTACGCGCGACAATTTCGTCGTCGTTGAGAATGAACCCGAGGTGTTGTCAGCCACCTCGAGATCACTTTCGTTCCGAACACCCAACGAATCCTGCCAACTGGTTGCCAGGTTCCCCCAGCTGACTCCGGCGAATAGGTAGGCTAGAACGAGTAGAATGAGGCACCCACCTAGGCACCTGCCACTTCCAGGATCGATGCTACTGCAACCGCTGGTCTGGTTTTCGGTCGTCGGTCTTTGTACTTCCTGATGGGACACACATTCTACCTGCTGGCTACCTGTCCATGGATCGGTCACCACAACGTTATGCCTTGCGCCTATTGCCGAGTTGTCCACACTCACATCCTGATGATTCACAGAGGATAGTGGTTTGTCCTTATCCAGGTCGTCATCCAACTCCAACGACGTCTCCGTGCCGTAGAAGATTAGCTTGAATTCTTCGAGGGTGTCTGAAATGTTGTGGTATACCGTTAGATTCCGTTTCGTGAGATCGCAAGTACAGAGTCGCAGGGAAATCGTAAAATGGACACATATGGGCATGCTGAAACTCAAAATGTCGAAAATTGACAAAATACCTCAAAATACCAATAGTGATATGAAAATGTAAAAATACTTAAAAATATATGTATTTCGTTCAATCGGGTGTGGTATATTACATCGTGATAAGTGTAATGGCAGTGCTAATTATTCTTGACTGCGTTATTTAGGACTCAGAACCTCAATCTGTGTGCCACGATCCTTAAAGAAATTATAGAAATGCTTGCTAGCAAATTTTGTATAAAATTTCATCATAAAGACATTTACCATCGTTAGGAAATAAATATTTTGAAACATCTTGTCCTAGAATATTTCTCTCTCCTACTAGAAAATGTTTATGTTAAAGCTCTTTTAGTGCGAATAGGGTAGAGTGCATGCTATTCGATTCTTACAATATAGATTCGTAATTCGAAAAGGGTCGCGAAATTTTGGCTCCGAAAATATAAAAATTCTTATACGGCTTGTCTTTTTGGTAATGATAACGAATTAGAAAAAAGGTATAGATAAATTATATTTTAAACATGCTGCTATCAAAAAGCGTACTTATTATATTTTGACCATAATATCTTAAGCATCATGTAGAGCGAATTTTCGAACGATAAATATGTGATTTGGAAAAATAAACAGGATCGTGTTTGAGTAAAGAAGAAGGACTTAAAGAAACTTAAAACAATGTTGTTTCAAACTTAATGGTACGTGGAAATTATTCAATGTATTGATCTTTTTTGTTTTGTACTGTATGGTGTAATAGCTCCACGCGGAAAATACTTTTGAATACGTATTTCATAAAGGGTTTCATGAAAAGAGATTCCAATTAAAATTTAATTTCCGGTGTTACAGGGATTCTAATTTCAATTTTCTCCCCAGACACGCAGCGTAGAAAATAAAAGCATATTGAGCTCTATAGCTTCTCTTTTAGTATCTTTTTGTAAGTCGATTTTCAAACGAATCGAGTAATATTTTCATTGAAATGCTATTTCAATTTTTCTTCACAATGAAGTAATTCAATAAAGAAAATGTCATTAATTAAGAAGGATTAATGTCCTTCCGAATCATATATCTTCTCAACGTGATATATTTGTGTTTTGTTTGTCTATCTTGACAAATTTGGAAGAATGATAAATTATCGAAAATAATTTGCGGCAATTTTAAGTTTTAATTATTACCTTGGTATATTTTCACGAGAAGTGACAGGATATTAATGATGCAAGATATTTAATAATTACAAACAACAGTTAAAAGAATATTATACGTTATAACTTGGACTAAAATTTTCACTCGGATACTTTAATTTGTCATTTTATCTCGCAAATTGCACATTTTAATGGGTTTTCCTTGATCAAATATTTATTTGTTGACAATATTCCCAGCAAATAATTCCATTTATAAGGTCTAGATTTCTTCTCATTTTCATTATCAGTATTTTATGCTCATATTGAAATAATTATACATTCAAATAATGTATATGTGTATATGAAAAAGATTTAATTGGTAGAAGTGCAAATAGAACTATTGTGGATTCGCGATGCTTGGAAGAGTCTTCCGCGTTTTCTTAATGTCACTACAGTCTAACGATAGATAGGTACTTCTATTTGACGTGACACGAGTGCACTTTGCATTATCCAACACATACATACATACACACAAGCGCGAATTTGCGCGAGGATCATTCGCGTGAATCATGTTTCATACAGTAGATGTTTGATGTATTCGATGCAAGTGTCTCGAGGTGTGGTCTTGGAAAAATGATGGCAGTGAAATGAGTAAAGTGAAGAGGGTGTCAATGTCGTTGGCGTCAGGGAACTAATAAAGCGTTACAATGCTGCTTAAGGAATTTTATTCTTACTTTCAAGAACAGGAACTGGAAGTGGATTAAAATGAAGTAAATTCGGGCGATAAGAGAAATATTAATAACGGAACCCGTATTTATTATTGTACTAATGCAATTTTGTATAAATGTCTATAACGTGATTTCTTATGTAAATATAAACCAAAAACTATACCCGAATTTCAGAACGTTTACATATTTGTTGGTTTTCCTTTTTTTTATAATTTTTTGCCTATCGATGGTAGTAAAAATTTTGTTAGCATGATAAACAATGGGCCTCGAGTATCCGAGTATCCGATGAAATGCCAACGAATGTAACTTGTATGTAACAAAATGTAACAAAATGAAAATGTTAAAGGCCAATAAGGGGTTAGAGGCCCATAAGTGGATATAATATTGCTGCTATAAAAGATCAATATGATCTGAAGACATGGTTCTTATTTCTGTATATTGACGTTTACACGATTTACGTGAACATTATCTGTATAAAAGTAAATTTTTGAAATATCGAGAATCGAGTAATAAAGTTTCTAATAGCTTTTCCCATTATAAAAGGCGTGCCATGTTTGTTATTTAAAAAAATAGTGATAAATAATTAATAATTGAATAATCGTTTTAACATAGTTAACAATATTTATGTGCTATGCAATCTGCATACTTCTAAGCATACTTCTACTAAACACACATTTTCATGCATGCAAGCGAACGGCTTAGTTCAATAGCTTTAACAACTTTGTAATTGTAATACTCATTGAAAGGCTAAATTTTCATCTAAAATTTACGAAAAATAAAGTTTCATTCAACGATACTTAAGAAGAAACGTAAGAGTACATGCAGCAAAATTAGTTAAACATTTTTATTATGAAATTAACATAAAAAGATGTTAGCGAATAACAATTTAACGAATACAGAAACTATCAAAGAATGCAAACTGAAACGCTATTCGATAATTGTAGAGTTCACATAGTAAAACCGATGTAAGTACCATTTTCTTCGATTATCTGTTTTATGCTATAAAAAGATATCTTAGAAACATTGAAAGATATGGATTTTTATACAATAAAAGGGAATACATGAAAATAAGGAATAAATGAAAAGTACCGCTGGAAATACTTAAAAATTATCTCAAAGAATACACAGATACAAATTATAAGGGGACACATAGCATATGAACAAAATGAACAATAATTACACCGAAGTGCGCTTGCAATAATATAGGAACAGTGAGGATAAGAGACAAAAAACTAAATCATATAAAAGTTCACTGAATTCTGTAATTTTTCGCGTGGATGCACTTCTATTTTACACAATTTGACTACTTTGGCGAGATGCGACAAAAGAAACTGCACGCAACGTGCATCCGTGGATGGTGCATGCACCTTAGACATAGTTCTCAAATTTTTGTATCATCAATTTTGACACTAAAAGTGTTTTCCCAAGCAAATGATCTCGAAAGGGAATCGTTACCCTAGTAGAGTTTTAATTCATTCTAAACCATTCACGGATTGCTCGTTACGTTAACGTAGGCCTACGTCAACTAAAGAAGAATACCCTTGTCTAAGTTCTTCGAATCGAACTGTTCGTCCTGAAGCAATTCCAGACCCTTATCCCTGGTTGCGTGCTGTTGGCCAGCTCCTCTAACTCCAGCGTAGACGGGATAGAGTGGATAGAGCTGTTGAATTTTAGGATATTGCTGGAAGATGGCTGGCACGTTGTTGATAACAGGTTTCGCTGGTGGCTCCAAGAGAATAAGGCCTCTTTGAAGGGACGAGGCCGTCGCTATGTCGACGATTTTTTGTCTGCTGGTCACTTTGGTGGTTAGAATCGTGGTAGATGGACTGGTCTGGGTGACCGTGATAGTGATTGGACTAGGCGTGCTTCTTCCTCTGGGTCTGGACGTGATTAAACGAATCTCCCCGGCGACGTTAGGTCCCTTGGCTACTGTCAACCCTCTTAACGTTTGCACGGTGGGCTTTGGCGTAGGTTTATTGGCTGATTTGCCATTTTTGTGCTGACCACGCGCTTTGCTCTTTCTCTGAGATTGTATCTGCGCATTGACCACATACGGCGGACTAAGGCTTCCGGATTTCTCCGACTTATGTTGAGTCTGCTTGATCTTCGAGCTCATCAGGGAGTTTTGTGCCTTCGAGAACACAGTTTCCCGTGGTTTAACGAAAGGTCTTCTCGGTATGTTCATCCCGGCAGGATTGTACAACGCGTATTCCGTGCGATCGGGCAGCGTTGACGTTCCGTAGAAGATCAACGCCCATTCGTGGAGCGTTGCACGACCTGATGAATGGTTGGTCGTCGGAACAGGATGCAGCACGAAATTCCAAATGATGATTATAGTTTCAGTGATAAAATCAAATAAAAGGTAATAAATTATACGGTAAGAAAGATAGGAGCTATTAAATTCTTTCTAAATTCTTTTGATCATTTATACACTATCTTTGTAGAATCTTTTCGCATCCTAACCTGAAATAGTTGATTACTTATTTATTATACGATAATTTTCGATTATTCATCAAAAACAAAACGTTTCGTCTATATAGATCCACCTTTCTTCGAACGATTCAGAAGCAGGTGATGCAAGTAATCCTACGGGAGAATATTGTACAGTCGAGCTTATCAGTGGTTGGGGATTAGAAAATCATTGACGACCAACAGGTGCAATTCCGAGGCCGGCACAATATTGTTGTTGGTCGACGACGACGATGCTGAAGCGGATCTCGCTAGCAATGTACAAGGACTCAACGCAAACGCGACGTGTAATGGTTTGAATACCTGTACTTGGAATGTATCCTGCATATTACGTGGCATAATAGAGCAAGGTTCTATCTTGCGCATGGATACATCAGACTACAAGACTGTATGGGATTACAAGCTCGCGTTAACTCAAACTTTATGCACATATCGGCTTTAACGGGCTTCTAGCTTCAAGTGGTTCTGACGATTTCACCCTTGCACAAGGTCAACTTCCCCTAGTAGTTCATGAGATCCATTGCTGGTGAATGCCACCGCGAGGGAACACGCTTCGAACTGGAAATTACGCCCTTGGGAGATAATGCAGCAGCTTACGTGGTCCCACGTGCATGATTTACGAGAAATTCCCTTTACGTCTTCCAAGATCAGATGATAAGATAGCAGCTGGATGTTACTGCATACGCCAGGCGTTAGAATCTACGGATCTGGTCATGTAACCCTATCAACCTATATCGCGTTTCACGGTTAATTTTATAATTTCAAGTGAAACGAATCGTTGTCCTATTATGAGAATATATACCGAAGATCGTACTTGTAATTGTTTTTCAATCTTTTTGGTACTGTTGATCCTTTAAGGTAAGGAATTTTTAACACGTTTAGGATGACAACAAAACCCAAGAAACGCTCATCTTGTGTTAGTTCGTACCGTTATTTTATACATTTTGCTTTTGGTGGCCCAGTAATGATGTTACACTGTCAGATAAGGGTATCCCCTGATGACCCATAGAAAAGTCATGCCATTCTAAACATGTTAAAAGTGATGTGGTATGTTTAACGTATTTATCTACCTTGGTACTGGACTCTCGAAGATTTCAAAACTTTTGATACCTACTCAGCAGTTTCATCCTATCGCGTTACTTTAATGATGACGGCGATGATGTGCAAAACACCTCGGCCGTGAATATATCTGATATAGAGAGGGTGTTTGGAAAATAAAGTTTAGACAAATGGATGTGAGAAACAGATGAAACCGACCACTGGGTAGAGTAAATGTATTTTGGAAACACAACGAATCGTTATTAATATTAGAAAATCGAGAATATAAATTACGATTTATTATTTCGTAAGATCGTAATTTGTAATTGGTCTTTGCGAAAAACGTAACAGGATATAAGCTCTTGAAAAATTTCTGATCCGAACGAGGTTACATTAGATGTATCTGGAAATGTATGCGATGAGAGGAAGGAACAAAAAGCCGGATACAATGGACTTACCTTGGTATCGACCCTCATTGTGGATTTCAAGCTTCCACGTGCCGTGTGGCCTTTCTCCCCAAGTGTGAACCGACATAAATGGCCATTGATTGAAACCAGCCTTTGAGATGTCGTGAGGCCTTTTCGCAAGGAGAGTACTCTTTGTACCTTGCGGAGATGTTAGCTGTATTTGAAGATCTCCTCTCCTCGAGGCCATCAGTGAAACCTTTGCCTAGAAAAAATGTATCGTACGAATATTTATAACGATCAACAATTTATCTAATCGTTCCAGCAATGATTTTATTGTCACATAAATATTCAATAATTTTAAATGTATATATTCTTTTTGAAACTTTGTGAATGAAGTGCGGTACGTGCGCATAGAAAAATTTAGAGTAATTTCACGTCTAAACGTGATTGAAAGCATTCCAGAGGAAAACTATTAATTAACACTCTATTTATGTGAGTGACACAGTACTTACCTGCACGTGCTCGAGAAAATTAACGCCGCTACACTCCTTGACGTGCAATTCCAGAGTTAGCTGGCTCTTTGGTGGTATTGGCCTGTGCGTACATATGAAATTTAGGTCAGCTGTAGAAACGAAGACAGGGAATTCCACAACCTTATTTTTCCTTTCTTTTAAATTCTCATTTCGTCGACTAGGTTAAGAAAAATAATCATACACCTTATTTTTATCGTCGATAAAATTCGTTTTCATTTCGACAGCGAATGGTCTTTGGAATCGTCTGTATTAAATCGGGTGCACGTGTTGCAGAAGCTATTTCCTGGGATCAGTTTATCGTTATCACGGTAACGCAAAGCGAACAATACGTGGCAGAAATAGTGATGAATCGAATTGCACCGTCACGTCTCAAATAGTCATTTATTTCACAAAAGTACTGGCTTCTAAATTGTATTTCATATTTTTCGGTGACTTAACTTTCAGTAAATCGTCTTTTTATTGAAGAAAGAAGGTATAATCTCGGAAGGAAATTACGTTTCTCCCTTCCGTTGGATTTTGCAAATTTTTCTAAGAAAACTCATTCGAACGTTTCAAATAGTCGTAATGCATAAAATAGCTAACCTGCCCATATGTGGTGCTGAAACCTCGCATTTGTGTTGTTCCGGTACCGTTCGCCATCTTCTGGCCAAGCGAACCATGGCAGCGGCATCCATCAGCCCATAGCCAAAACTATGACTCACTAAACAAAGATTGGACAAATTTTTAAATTAGACTATAATGCGTACTTTATACTTATATTTTTTCAAATACTTACCGTTTCTTCCAACTCCGTTAGTTACCCAATCTATTGCTTTAAGATTGGCAGGTTTCGCTGTTCTGACGACAATGTGTTGCATATCCCTCCAAGTTAGCTCTTTGTTTGCCTCGAGAGCGAGAGCGCAGATACCAGCAGCTAAGGGAGCCGATGCAGACGTGCCCGTATGACTGCTCGTGCATAAATGATGCAGATCAGTGGTCACTACTTGTTTCTCTCCCGATGAGCCGGAACTGTAGGTGGTAGCGAGAGTGGAGGAACAGGCTTCGCTGTACCAAGGCACATGACCATATTCTGTAGCGCTGCTGATGGACAACGTCCAGATGCTGTTCGTATAACCATCGCAGTTGCAGTTGTCGTGATCCCTGCCGCCGTTTCCTGACGCCCAGACGAAAATTGACCCTTTACCGTTGCGACCCTGACGATCAAAGTGACGAATTTAGCGAGGCGTCACCAACCGTCTGGTCAAAGAGCCTTTCATACGCTGTGAAAGGTTCAATTGATCGTTTCATCTTAAGAAAACGCTTTTAGTCTTCGATTTTCTTCGATAACGAACTTACGCGTAATCGTTTTTACCAATCGAATCGCTTTTTTATATCTAATCGTTCTGGATAAATGGATAACTGAAGATGAGTTCTTTGAGTGAAACACACGAAGGAGAAATTTATCTATAGGTTTTTTTTTAACTGTTTATTTGAATGTAAAATGTATCCACGTGTATCATATACCTATACAGATTTCAAAGCAAAACGTACAACGTATAATTTTATTGTAAATCGATAACATATGTCCTTCTTAACGAGGAAATATTAATACGAGGACAAATTCCAATGCTCCTTTTAGTTAGATATCAAGTTTGCACCACTTCCGATATCACTACAGTTATGACCATCAAAGGGCCATCCTTGAAATTATTGGATTAGTTATGGCGGTATGTTAAACGCAACTTCGATACACTATATGCTCTCATTATTAATACACAGTACATACATACCTGATGACCTCCTTTAACGTAGTTACAGTCAGTATACTAGTACGAAATGCACTTTGATTTCGTGATATTTTTCCTTTAGAGATAATTTTTTATTGTTGTCAGAAAATGTATCTTTTATATGAAATCACTTTTTTTTAGATCGTTTTTAACTAAACACATTGTATTGCATGTCTAATCTATTAAATTTAAGAGAACGAGTTAGAAATTTATTCCACTGTCGTCTCGACAATTGCGTCGAAATATCTCTCGAAAATTTTAAGCTATTTCAAATATATGACATATTTCGCAAACTACCGCTAGCAATAACTGTCTTTATGAATATTTAACGGTTAGCTTCCTATCGAGCAAAAGTGCTTTAAATCCAGAAGTAACAGTAATTATACTGGAAAGATAAATTCATATTTGGCTACGACACTACCGGGAAATATCGTTGCATTAACACGAAAATGGAAGGTAAAAAGATATATACATTCAACTATTATCGAATGTCGTAGTTCTTTGAATAGAGATTTCTTATAAAGTTATTCATGAAATAAAGCACATAAAACATGCGAATGAAAAATGAAACATCGATAATAAAAAAAAAAAAAAAAAAAAAAAAAGAAATGAGGAAAGATAAAAATAGTACTCATATAATGTGTCTCTCTCTCTCACACACACACATACTTTTTTTTGCAAACGAAACTTTTTGTATTAGCTTAAGTACTTTGTTATAGAGATATTTCAAATAACTATAACTATACTTGAAATACATGTTTCCGTAAAAGGAAAAGGAATGGCAAAAGGAAAAATTTTCCTTAATACGGTCAACCCGTGATGTACCGTTCCTCGAGTGTTTGCTTGCTTTCATTCTAGAGAGAATTTATTTCTGCATATTTAATAACAAGCAACTTTTGTGGAATATAAACGTTTATCCCATAAGCCCGTTGACTCCTTAAGGATTTACCAAATGAACGACAAAATGAAAACAGTTTGCTTAGGAATATTCAATGTATGTTCAACAGTCATTTTTAAAACGAGCATTTACACAGTGCTTCATAATACAAACATAATATTCGCAGAGAGAAAAAATTTATAATAGTATTCTTTCTCTTACAGAATTCTTGTTATACTATTATTTCTATGGTCAACGCTAGAGAATGGAGGAAATGTATGGTTTTAAGGGCTTTATATGTTTAAAGAAAATTTGTAACGTTTCTTGAGTAAAAGTCTTTTTAAAATACTTAATGTTCCACTTTCGTAGTAAATGTACTGTAAATACCATATATGTACGTACTGATATTGTGAAATTTTTTTCTTGCTAACAAATATTATAATTTAATATATATATGTCGGAGATGAAAGGAAAACCAAAGCCTTTCCTTGGAAATTTTGGGAACATCCTCTAGTACTCTAGCCTAGATTTTATCATAGCTGCAATTGTTCGAGATTTGTGATAGCGAGATTGGGCTCGAGGTGACAATTGGTCGCCGAACGTAGCTACGGTCACGGGATGGATGTTTTGCCTAACGGAGGTCTGGAGTGGTTGTATGGTTTTTCCGAGAAATGTGGTTGTGGCGGCATACGGCCTCGGGAGCGGGCCTAGCCACGTGTAATTTTGCCTCGGAGGTGCCGATATAATGGGACATACATTGTATTAATAATCAAACTCCAGGCAGAAACTGCCTAGCAACAGCGTTTGGAACCTTCTCGATGCTTCCAAACGAGTACAGAAAACAAATGCAATCGTACAGCGAGAAAAATCTCCACGAGGCTGGCTTTCGTGCTATTGCCTTGGAGAGTGACACATCGATCATTTCAACAATCGTATTTTGCGCCTAAAATTAGTCTACGCTTAGTAAGGAGTTCTCCCGTTGACCGTGGATTCGTTTGAACCCAAGAACATTGTTAATAGCGTTCATTAAACTTATTATTCGTAAAACATACTATTCATTAAACTTACTATTCGTTAAGCTTATTATTCATTAGACTTATTATTTGTTAAACTTATTATTCGTTAAACTCTAATATTCGTTAAACTTTGTCAGTCTTGTATATACGTGTAAATATAATCTCGGTTTTGTAAAACAATGGCTAATCCACGTGAAGAGTTGTTACGCGCCCAAAATTCTAACCATAACCCGACATATATATATATTTCGCAAAAGACAACTGTTTTTCCTAAATGTTTGTACAATTAAAAAGTTCAGAAGGAAAGTTATCTGTCCTCGAATAAAGTGAAACCAAAGCTCATTGAATTCAGATTCGAAAATTAAAAAACAATGGTCAATTCTAAACACGGTAATCTTTATTATCGGTATTATGCACAGAATGGTTAAGTAATCGTTCTCTTACAAGGTGCCATGACCATAACTAGCTGAGACGTTACTTTCGCAGCTTTGAAAATCTTGCCTCGAAGATTTCTATTTTCTGACTTTTCGGTACCGTTTTAACGAATTCCTCTTTCGGGCAAAAGCGACTTTCAATATTTGCATATGACTTACGGCTACTTCGCAGTGAGCAAGGATAAAATGGTAATGCGTGCAGGTACGGAAGCTGACAAGTCGCTTAAAAGCACCCAATTAGAAACTTTCCGTGGGCTGATCTTATCGACCGAGTCTATTAAGGTAGGTCTAGGGAAAGAACTTCCTCGTTGTGATATAATCGTATCATGGTTTTCCCGGCAACGCAAATGATTTCGAAAGAATTATTTTTCGATTAGGTTCGCAACCTATCGATACCGTTAATCTTCCTTCAGGAATGTTTTCTACCGGCTAGTTTCATCTTCTTTATATCGTATTATTATATACACATGACAAAAATTATGCTTTTATCTTGTATATAACCTAACACTATAATTTTGTAAATAAATTTGTGTTCACGTTGTTACGTCACGAGGCTTACCACAGGCTGTATTTCTAACCGTCGCTCGCGGTCCTACAGTGTCGCAGGCAGATCGTCTTATCTGCCCGACGGAACATATACAATGTATCGACGAGCGCATACTTGTCACCAAGCAGCGAGATCTAGAAACGTCGATTTTGGTCCGTTACTTTTTCCACACAAGAAGGCGACATACGTCATCATAGGAGCGAACGGTGGCGTGACCCGAGCATAGTGGGGGTCGTCTCTCAAAGAAGACAAAGAAATGATCGAAAGGCAATCAGTCCCTTCTGACGAGCCAAACGTTATACATCGAGAGGTTTGACGATTAAAATTAAGGTCGCATAGTCTAACGAATTCATTGAGAGATATCGTAAAGTCGGGTCGACTTTCTGTAACATACTTACTGTATTCCTTGTTAAACTATTTGTGGCGTGTTCATCATATTATTGTCAAATATACTATTTTATGTAAATCTGTTAATACAGTGTTAAATTCATTGAACCACCTATGTTATCTTAATCGAAACAGGGGAACGACTATTTCGCGGCGTCGATTAACAGAATCGTAGCGAGAATTTACGCCTCTCGCTGACGCGTTTACCTCACGACCACGTCTTTCCGCGAACAGTTGTAACACACGTTCTAGAACAGAGGTCAGTAACGTAGATTTCGCGGGCACCTAAGTGCACTATCATGGGCAATCACCACCAATCGGCGATTCGATTCGGCCTATCTCAATGGTCGGCAACCGATCTTTGAGATGGCCCGCGACCGATTGCACTTTGACGTGCTGTGGGAGATAGTTCGGAAACGCGAAGCGATAGCGAACTTTCGAACATTCGTGGGGAGACGCGATCTCGAAGAAGCGCGCCTACGGGAGTCGTAAATTCCTGTTACGATTTAACTAATCGACGCCACGAATCGTACCAACCCTTATTTCTTGTGGGATAATAAGGGGGGTTGAGTGAACATAACGCTGCTATTAACAGGTTAATATATATTTTGAATGATTCAACAACTTCAATGTGATACAAGGTTGCGTATGTGAAATGACAACTACGAATGAGTACGAACTGTGACTCCTTTCATGTTGGCGACTGTGATGATGTATCTTCTGTCGATTGACTGTCTTCGACTTGTTGACTTCTGACTCTTGAGGTTCCTTGAACTGTGTTTTTAATCGAGCTGATGTGAACTAACTGATGAGCTTTGACTGTTACTTGAAAGTTACCGTGGAATATGTCTAGAAATCAAGTATAGAGACGAAGTGACTGCTGTGTAGGTATGAGAACAAGTTGACTGTCCTGTCGTCGTGAGAACAAGTTGACTCCTAGTGTAGTAAAAGAAGTGAAGTTCGTTCTTATATGATTACGGAATGGGTGTGCCCTTTGAACGAAGAACGCGGATTCGTTGCTTACACTTTTCGTCAGGAAAGTGAGGGTAACGATCCGCGATGCCGATTGGTTATGACCAACGTTAGGAATGAAGATAGGAGGATGAAGCCTCCTACCAATGTGGCTCATGGGCGACATTGTTTATGGAAAAAAACCAGCTTTTCCATTAGACAAATATTCGTTTTTCCTATTAGGTAACTACTCGCTTTCTTCGTAATTTGTAAGAACGTGCAACAAACCTAAGGACTTTTTTATTATAAGTACCAGCCATAAACCGAAAATACTTGGAGGATTAAAGGTTCCTGCAAGCTAATAAGATTCAGTTTATGGTGGCCTTAGGTTTATTAAAGGTCTGTCTAATGGTGCTTGGGCCTTGATTGTCAGACAATGAAGGACGTCGCACGGACTATTTCACGTGACGTAGTAAGCGGTTCAGAAAATCTAAGATAATCTGTAATGAACTCCTGACAAGAAAGATAAAAATAAAAGAAAGAAATAAAGGAGCTTGAGAACAATAGTCTTTTTTCTATTTCTTCTTTATAGTGATAAAGTGATAATCAGTTTGTGTTATTTCTAATAATTCTACTATATTTTTCAATTTCATAATACTTTAAAACTTACATAAATAAAAAGAAAAAGGCATATCATTTTAATATTGGGTGAGAAGAACAATTTGGTTTTATATTCTTTTAGGGGAAGTACGCATGTTTATTGTTGTAGTTCCTAAAAAATGTAACATAGTGAAGCATTTCAACATTATTCATAAAAACTGTAATAAAAATTCTCTGATAAATTCTATAATTAGAAAAAAGAAATTTATGTGATGAAAATGAACTTAGCTAAACAATGAAACGTTTTTACGAAACCTGCTTCACGGTCGAAGAAAGCAACCTTTTCTATCTCTTTTAAAACTTTTTACTTATCGATAAAGAAAAAGAAACTAGTTTTAGAAGGTAATTTAGTAAAAGAAGCCATGTTGTTGGTTTCTGAGTCAATTTTTGATGAGTAGAAAACTAAAAATGAAATAATGGTAGCAATAAATAAAATCGAATTATCGGCGGGAGCAGTAATACGATGAATCGAAATTACTGCAACTGATATTGAGACAAAGTTGAAAGAGGATTTAGAAGAATACATTTACTCTTTTATATTTACTTTTTTTTTTGTTGCAATTAAATGAGTCTACTGATATATCGGATACTTCTCAATTAATTGTGAAGACGACAATTATTGTTTTCGATAATTTTACTACGAAAGAAGAATTTCTTAAGATTCTACTTTTAGTGAGGCCAACAAGGGGAGATGATATTTTAGCAGTTTTCAAAAAATACGCGGAGGAAAATAATCTACCATTATAGAAGTTGACCGCGATTACAATCGACGGAGTTCCGGCAATGGGAGAAACAAAACAAGGATTTATCGCGTTATGTAAACAAGATCGTTCATTTTTCAGATTTATGTCATATCATTGCATAATACACCAAGAAACGTTATGTGCAAAGATAATACCTCTTCAACGTGTCATATAGGCAGTATTATAAATTATAAATTCGATAAGAGCTGCATCAATGTAACACCGATTATTTAAATTACTTTTACAAGAAGAGAATGCTGAATTTAATGATTTTACTCGCATGGAAGAGCGATGACTTCATAGAGGAAAAATACTTTAAAGATTTCTAAATTTATTAACTCAAGAGTAATAAATCTTGGCCACAGTTAGAAAACAAAATATCGTTTTTTGATCTTGGATTTCGTACTGATTTTATAGAAAAATTTAACGAATTAAATTTAATATTTCGAGACAGAAATCATCACATCGCTCGAATGATAAGTGCAATAAATTCGTTCAAAGAAAAATTGATACTTTGAAAATGGCATCTTTCAAAAAACAATTTAGTTCATTTTCCAAATTTGAAAAATATTGCCAAAAATTGTATTAACAGTAATGTTTCTTTTTGCTCATTTTGCACCTCATGGAAGAATTTGGTATTAGATTTCAAGAGTTTTCTGAATTGGATTCATTTTTGACAGTTTTCACAAATTCTTTCACCTGTACAGACAAAGATGTATCTACTAAAATAGCAGCTTATTTCCAAATTAGTAGCTCGGAAGATTTGAAATTAGAAATTACAAATATAAGAAATGATATAATATTAAGATCACATCAGAATGATAAAACATTTTGGAATTTAGTTAATAAAAATACTTATCCGTTGTGAGTTAGTTGAAGATTTGGATTGCTAAGTATCACATTTATGTTTTTTTTTCTTTAGTACACAAGTTTGAAAGTAGACTTTTGTATCTTGTAGTAATAAATTTATGTACAAATTTATGCAAGATAAATAGCATCAAGTGCATTTTAATGTTACAACTTTTCCTTTGTCAAAATTAAGTAAACTGCTCTTTGTCATAAGTTAACCATTCGGGGTTAATCGAGGGTTATCCTCCGGGGTACTCTGTATAGTAAAAAGATTGTAGATTACTGTTCTAGATCGAAAGTACTTTCTTTTTAATTAGTCATCAAATCATACTAGTTAGATATTGTCATACCTTTTTCCTACAATTCTTAATTATCCTTGAGGAACCTGACTTTCCGTTTAAGCGGAATTTATTTTCGTTAAACGTTCCCTATCATCGCGTTGCGTCGCGTCTCGTCGTATCATGTCGAGTCGTTCTCCTGAATCGTCTGTCTTAATTATAGATGAACATATATCTATTCTAACGATCTATGTGTTATTTCGATGCAAATCGGCTGACATGCTGAAATTCCTTGTCCAAGGCACAAGATAAAACATCCTCGTGTCTCCTCTAGCAAACGTAATCGAACAGAGTCTGCTTTCGAGCGACTACTAAGTATGTAGCATCGAGATAACAACGAAGTACTATCTGCCTTCCAGTCGTCGCTCTGCGGAAACACGCAAGAGATGTTTCTAGGAGATAGATTCCTGGAAATTTCTATCCGAGAGGCGGACCTTCCAAAGCTATCGATTGTACAGGACTTTTGGTCTATTCCCAACAACGTAACAAATGTATTTCATAGGGTTTTAATGAAACGTGAGAATAAAGGATCCAATTTTACGCGCAACGAGACTTATTTATTATAGCGTGGTACAGAGAACGACGCGGAAGAATTGGAGCAGAAATTAGAGGAAAAAACAACAAGGAATAATTTCGTGTCGTATGAGTTATTTATCGTTTTGTAAACTTTTCGTTACCGATTCCAAGTACGGCACTAGTAGTTGAAGACCTGAAGATTTTTGTAAAGTGTAAAAAATTTACCAACCTTTGTGATTCCTTCGATGAAAGCTCTAGTAGCAAGTTCACCAGGACCATCGACGGTTTTTCCATCGTCATCCGGTCCCCAGGAGGCACTATAAATGTCGATGTGTTGGGGATTTAGACTCAGAGACCTCGCTTCGACAGCGTCTGTCACGTCTCCGTCCAACATTCTTACTCCTACGTAAATAAAAAATTAAATCCTTTTAATTAAATTACTCATCCCGAATTGGATTGGTTTATTTTTTAATATCTCGTTATTTAATATGTCCAGTTTTATCAGAAATACACGCATTTTTTTCATTTCTCTCAAAATACTGCACCGGTTTTTCAAATAACCGAAAATAGCTGAAATCCGTTTTTTGAATACATTTACCCCCGACACCAGCTCCGAATGCAACTCCCACCGCGCACATGGAATTGTTAGCAGTTGCAGCCACTTCACCGGCGCATCTGGTGCCATGTCGATTACTGTCTAGAACATCGTATCTTGGCATGGGATCTTCATCATGATTATTAACGTCGTAGCTCGCTTGTGGATCCTAGAAAGATCGTTCATTCGATTATTCTTGAGTGAATCATGTATTCTTTTTCTACCGTATAGGTTGTAACGATTTAAATACAGAAGAAATATACTTTCTTCGGAAAATTTATAAAATCTTTGGTTTAATATCTTGCGATATTTTTAAGATCATGAACCTCAACGCTTATTGTATAGTTGAATCGTTGAGCATTGTCACCCGCTGTTCTCGTTGAGATTAGATGCTTTTTCTTCTTGCCAATCGATAAGATGTTTAATTAATATCAAGTGAACTACTTCTGTAATTACCGAATACAACTTGGCTGCACTTTTACGAAGTTCCCAGTGAATATCGACTTCCTACAAGGCCCGATGTAATTGCTTTTTCCTTTAGACAGTTAGAGGATTGTTTTAAAGTTCCGAGTTTAGTACTACGGTTTTTCGTTTCTTTTCGTATATAATATTTTTTTTACAATCGATTAAATAATTCTCGCGACGGAGTTACAAAGTCATGAAGATTCGATATTTTACATTTATACGAATAAATAGATTTACACTCATCTTGGATATTCTCTATCGAAATGCGGTTTCCAAAAAATCGAGTGCTAACCATACAAATATACATCACCCATTGAATATAAGGAAAGTAGAGAGCAGAAGTTAAAAAACAATGACAAAAATTTGCAAGAGGTAAGATCGGAAGAGCTGTGCAAACTGAAGGCACATAGGAAAGTCAGAAAAAGAGAAAACAGGGAATATGGTGGAAATAAGTCGAGGGAATTTAACTGATTAATTTGAATCGCTTGTTTTGATATGTAGGTATAAGAGTTGTTTGGTTCAGCTATGTAACCCAATAATTTCTAAAATATCGTAAAAGAATTTTAAACGTCGTTTCAACAAAATCGTAAAAAATGTGATATTTTAAATGATTGAAAATTTCAATTTCATTGACGACACGTATCTCTTACGGGTCGATATCGATTACCGCCGACTATGTCTGATTATAGGAGATCTGTATCTACTGGGAAATTGTGGAGCTCGATACACGTTTGTCCGTGGTTGCCTTATTAACCCCGGCCATTCACTAGTAAACATACGCGTTTCTCTCGTGCGGTTTAAGTCTAGTGTTTGACTCTATGTATGGCTCCTAGTACTCCGCTGGCAACTTCGACAATTTCGGTAGCGTGGCACAAACTTGCTTCCTGCAGTCCACTAACGAGAAATAGAGAAGCAGGAGAGTTTTATATGTATAAATGGTTAAAGAGCAAACTGCGTTTAAAGAATTTTGTGTGAATCGTTGTAGCGTAGCAAGAAGAGCGTTGCATACGTTGTAATCGCGAATGCACAAATCTTATTACATTTATGGCGCACTGTCGTTCCCACGAATATCATTCGTTGTGTCTAACACGTTTCTTTACGATAATTTCTCTTGCTGCAACGTTGTATTCGTTGCAGTTAGATGAAAATAGACGTTTAGTATATGGAATAGACGAGAGTTTCTAAATACAGGTATAGTTTTTGGCACCATTCCGAAATCTGTCTGCCCTCCATTTTGTAGGGTTCGGTTCGTCCTGTCTGTTCTGTTTGCTTCGTGGAACCTGTCGATCTTTTGTGTAAATTGGAACGTACCCTGTTAAATTGCTGAAAAACTGATTTTCTCTCTTACGAGTGAAAAGATTGAACATTTTCTGTTGTACCGCGGTGAAATTAAATGTGACTGTAGTTGTTAAGAATTTTATTTCTAGAATTGCTTTAGAGATTATAAATTTTTGTCGTGTCAAAGAATTGAGTTCTTTTCTCGAATTATCTTCTTTATCAAGCGTTTTATTGGATTAAGACAATAAGTAATGGAACTTACGTAGTTCTTATAGAGATCAGGATGATTTTTCTCCAATCCATCATCAAGGATCGTGACCACGATTCCGCGTCCCGTAATTCCTTCAGCCCAGGCTTCCTGCACGTTCATATCTAACCCCTCTCCCCTATTCTATAACCAATTATCGATAATCGTATTTTAATACGTTTGTCTTCAATCTTTCGACGTAAACAAGTTAAAAAATTTCTATTTTATGCATAATATGCATAATGTACGCATATTTACATGTTACGAGATTCATGAACGAAATTGTAATTTTCTTTAAATATACATTGAATTTTTTTAATTTACATACCTAACAAAATATATTTACCGTTGGTCAACAAAAATTTGGCACGAAATTGAAATTCGATTGAAAAAAAAAATCGTAGAAAGAGACAAAGCAATAAAGTATTTTTATCTCATAGGCCTTTGTTTAATTTTCCGTGCACGTTCGATCAATTCAGCGAGAGGAAAGAAATGAGATTTATCTGATTCAACTAACCAAGTACCACATTTGAGGCCACATCTCGTCATTGAGAACGGTTTTCAGGTTGGACGGACCGCGTTTGATTATCAGATCCCGTTTCGTTCGCGATTTCACTCGCTGCTGCTCCGCTCGGCGCACTCTGCGGTCTTCTATTAGCCTCCCTTGTACTCCGAAATGTGGTTCCGCCGACCTCTTCACCACTGACGTGTGCACCATATGGTACCAATCGTCTACTATCTGCAACAAAGAACAATTTCACATAAATATCTTCGTGTGATAATCACGCAGCCTTTTCTACTCACAACTATTCTCGCTTAATGCACCAAACGATAACGAACGAATTTCAATACGAGATACCGTTTGCGAGTCCCGGCTAGTTGCTTTATATGAAGCATAATTTGCCTTTTATGTTTCACCTGTTTCGCTCAATCAATGTATTTCAACGAAAATATATGAGAATACGTCTTTAGTCACTGAGATAATATTTATCGAGGTTTGTACTCTAACTTGTTCGAAAACTAAAATGAAAGAGATATAAGTAAAGATTACTTAACATTTAGGATGACTGAACATTTGAAACTTTTCGATATGGGCTAGAATATTTGCTATTATTGTAATTTAACGGAGAATAGTTTACTTAGATTTGATCGGTGATGTTTCATTTCGTACCACATACGTGTACATCGCTTGGTTGTCGAAACGAGAAGTAGTGGACTACTAGTTACGACTCGATGGTCTGTGGTTGGTTACGGTACAATCATGGCACAATACATAATAATTCGGTGATAACAATAATAGATGTAGCGATTAGTTAAATTTCACGTCTGCAGCTATTTTTCGAAATTTACATATCTCGTTTATATTGTACACATCGTAAATATATTGTAAATATTTATTAATAGGAAACATCACATAGTACATTAAATATAAAGAATATAGGATGAATAAAGTAGGTGAATAAAGAACACAGTAAATAAGATAAAGAAAATAATAATTGATAGAGATAATTGAAAACAGTTATTAAAAACAAATAATTATAAATTATAATTACAAATAACTAATAAAACCAAAGTTATAAATAACAATGGGTGGTTCCGATTCGAGTCTGTTATAAAATCATGGAAAATATCAATTTTGTTATCAATTAATTAATATTTCATTCGATATGTTAGAATATAAATTTTATTATTGAACGAAATAACGAAGCCTTAATCGCAGTTTCGAGATAGTAAAGACCAATGTCCAGAAGTTAGAACTCTCGTTAAAACAAATTTTCTATTTACCGCAAAACGCTTTTCTTATATGCACAGCCGTTTACAAATTTTGCTGATAATCGTTAGAAAAAGGAAGGAAAAATGGGTGCGTCGTATATTTTCTGCGGTTTTCATTAAGGACAAAGTATTCATCATATTTTTGTATCAGGGGAAAAATTTAAGCTGCTCGTGGAGCAAGATTATTTGATGCACAAGTTTGCCCCCGATATGGCGATATGCAACGGTAAAGATATATGGTGTAGGGTAATGATAAATGTGAAAAGTTGGCAACAGCTGCTGCAGGCGAGCTTCTTACTGCTTCTTTCCCGGTGACAACTTGCACTGCATTTTTTCAAGCTGAACATTCTTTGTTTGAAGAATGTAGCTTACATTCCACGATGGAACTATTGTTTCGCCTGCTTCTATCGAGTTGAAAGACACGTTTGTATTGTTACTTCCAGATATTTATTTCATCCCTATTTTTTTATAACCCAATTTGTAGTAAGGCAACTGTTGAAATAACATTGGCATGTCGTTGCAGCTATATTAAAATCGATACGGAAAATTTCTATGAGTTAAACGAAAGATTAAAAATATGGTTATCAATTACCATTATCATATCAATTATCATTAACGAATATGTTTACAGAAAACTAATACACGAGAAAACTGATAATTTAGAAATCATGAGATCACGGACATTTTTTCCTCTTTGTAACTTTTCCTTTTCCTTTCTTTATACGTTTCTTAGTCTTGACAATATCGTTGAGGCGACAGCACTTGAAATTACACGGATGCTCTAGTAACTTGGAAATTTCACGATGCACCGGGCTTAACCTTGGCCTCTTTATTTCCTCTATAAATGAACGATCGTTGCGTTTCACTTCGATCACTGTAGGTGAACATGGATCCAAGCCATTTTTCGATTTAAAAATCTTCAACCGAACTTGATATTTCTGCTCTTTCCATTCACCAGTTCCCTTGAAACACTTTCGCTTTTTTCGAATGGGCAAATATGTCTCTTCCGATTTTTTTAAAGATCTCGTTTTAACCTCGTCTGGCTTGCGATTCATGTAAGTAGTCTGCATCTCCTTTGGATTGGGACGCTTACTCAAGCCATACTTCAAACTCGATACATCACCTTTCGAATCGTTGACGTTTTCTACTTGACACGGGTTTTCTGACTTCTCACAAGAGCCACTTTTATATGCAACGAAAGATGTTTGACTTTTCGTATATTTTCTGGTGGAAAAGCACTTTTTGTCACCATCATCGCATCTCGTTTTTCGAGACAAGTAACTATCCTGCGTGGATGAACGAGAGTTACTGGACCCACGTTTCGTTCGATATTCCACGCATGAAGGCGAATTCGTAGATGAATGTTGTAATCCCCCAGCTTGCAGATCTCGAGATACTTCGGCTTTTAGCTTCTTTTTACTCGATTGTTGATGGGGAATAAATACTATGGGAGAGGGACAGATAGGAGGGCTATGTTTCTTCTTGTGTTGGCTTATCCTCATCTTCTCAGACCAGTGAATAGATTTTGGTGGTGCTGGGTCAGGGAGAATATCTTCGTGCAAATTCGATGAATTACTGCATGCGTCTTTCGAGCATCTGGAATTCTTTTGCTCTAAATTCTCTGCTCTCTTGGGTAAAAACGATTTAATTATGTCGGAACTATGTTTCTGTACGCAAACCATAATTCTATCCATCTTCGATAAAATTTTTGATTCTTTTTTATCCGCCTTCTGAACTGGTGATTTTCTATCATCCTGATCATACGCATGGAAGACCTTACTGCTTCTCGTTTGATCAAATTGACGTTGCTTGTAGTACTCGAAATCTTTTGAGCTTCTTTGGCAATCGGCCTCTGTCAATTTTTTATGTTCTTCGAAACATTTCGTCGACAGCTTTTCGCTTTCTGCCGACTTCTTACGATCTTCGAAATCTTCCACCGATGCCTTCCCACATTTCCTCACTTTCTTACGATCGTCGGAGTGTTTTGTCGATTCTTCTCGGCAATGTCTGTATCTTTCAGGTTTATTAAAATACGATGGACTTGTCTGTTGTATCGAGTAAGAATACTCAGAGTGTACATTTTGTGCGTCATTTTGACGATGATCTTCCGAACCTTGCTGGAAACATGTTTGGGAACGTTCTTGTATCCGAAGTTTCTGATCATTTTTGAAAACCATTTTTGGTTTTGTCGAAGGAGAACGTTGCTCTTGACAGTCCGATTTCGGGGGCTGTTTATTTCCATTGGATCCTCTTTTGACAAGTTTGAAGAATAGGTTTCTTTTCGTATAATTAATCGCAGGTATGTTGCTAAATCGTTTCAGATAAGTAGGAATCGTTTGATTTAGAATGTCAGTAGACAGGTGTGTTCTTATTGGAACAATTTGTCGTTTGATCCGAATGAGATCTTGAGGATCAACGGTGATATCGATAGACCTGTTCAGAGTCGAGTATTTTTCGAAAGCAAGCTTCAACGAGTTATTCAATATCTTTATAGCAGAGAATTTTCTGTTCGAAAAGAAATCGATTACTTCCTGCAACTTGTTTCTAGGCAAATGTACTCCAACTTTCTCTTTTGAAGTATTTTCCGAATATTTTACTTCGTCGGATGGTACCCATTTTGGCTGGATGTTTCTTATTCTCCTTACCGACAATTTTATTCTCCAAGAAATCTGTCGGTCATAATAGGTATCGATAAATCAAAAGATAAAAGTACAGTAAATATAAAATAAAATAATTGTACAAACTATTCGTTTCCAAATGATTATAAATGCAAATGAAAGTTTTCTTTACTTAAAAATAAAAACACGAAAGAAAACAAAAACAAAGATACATTTTTATCTGAAGGAGGAGAAATAGTAATATAGAATTTCTTTCCTTCTCAATAACATCCATGTCTGTATTTTTTACTTTCATCTTTATCTTTTGATCTCAATATTTCTACATAAATTGAACGAGTGCTTAGAGTAAAAATATATCTATAAAGAGAAAAGATCTTTGAACGTAATATCTCTCCGGATAAATATTTGTTAATGATTCATCTTTTGCATAAAATGGAATATTTCAAGTAAAATAAACTGTTCCGTTTAAAATGTTGCGCAAGAACAACGTCTTTGATCCTCCTCTTTTTGCTACCGGTATACTTGTCGAACAAATCTGTGTTTAATTGCAAAGCATTTTCGAGCATCTCGATGGATTTGAGAGGAGATCCTGCCAAGTCAAGACGTTTCTCGCGTTCTTTGATGCGGAGAACATCTTTACCTTTCGGGATAAAAGTCTCAACATTTCCTACGATGAATCGTTGATGTATCTTACATCAAGACCTTACATCTTTCTTTCTTCTTTGTTTTATCCTGTTATGGTTGGTTCTCTTTCTAATTACTACCTTAATCTATCTACTCGCCCCTTATCATTATTACAATTCCTCATTCGAGCCGGGGAGGATATCAGCGTAGATTTTGTTGCTTTTGAGGTTAATTGCTCGTGCAATTCTTTGCAGTAACTTGTCGGACTTTACTCAATGGTAAATATCTTTCGTTTTTTTTAGCGTAACATAATCTTCAAATTTAATTACCGTAACATAATGGTCTCATGAAAGAACAAATGATTTTTGATAATTTTACTACTAAAATTTGGACACTATCATGGTAGATACGAATGGTCGAATGGTACTTATTCGTTTATACCTTCAGATCGAAGAAAATGTTATATACACATAGTAATACGTTACTTTTGAATATTTTGTTTATTTATAGAGCTTAGCTATTTATAGAAAGTAATTTATAATAGAATTAATTTATTACCTATATCAAATCATCACGCGGCGTTCCTATTTAAAACAATTTTTCGAACGAAGTAAATTTTATCGATACTAAATAATTTAAAGTTTGGCTGTTTTATTCATTGGAAATTAAATAAAATCAAATTATCGAAGTCTTGACACTGAATGCACCGAAATTCCTTGGGTATACACCTGCTTTGGACGGTTAAATTCTGCCAGAACTTCCGCCTCCAGGACGTTTTGGAATCCAATGCTAGATTGCTTTAGTTCCGAGATGCAAGTTCATCTTCGATATGTGGCTAGACATACGCAGACACTGATCGATCTGATTCATCGCCAGTTTGGCTTACGTGGCTGCACAACTCTCCGTAAAGGCATGCCCCGATAAATTTCGTTTTGCAAGTTAATAGTGATAACTAGACGGCTAAGCTTGTTTTATCATGTATGTGCGGAAAATTTCAATGTGCGAGATTGTACAGAATGCACTTAGTATGTAAAATATATGAAATATACAAAGTAGGGTATTCCTTGGTCGAGTGAAGATCGGAAAATTTGTCTTCGTGCTTTGAAAGAAAAAGAAAGAAAAAATATTATCAAAAAATGGAAAGATATAATTAACCCTTTTAATAATTTTAAGACACAAGACATAGGTACCATGGTTAAAAAAAACAAAATTATTAATATGGGAAAGGATAATTAAGCGTTATAACAATAGTTAACTTTATACAGAAAATTTCGAAACATAATAGCACAGATTCGTTGTATTATAATTTTTAGAACAGCACCGAGTTGTGTCGCGACGTCATATCGACAGAATGAATTGATTACGACATCGATGGCACTGTACCAAATCAGCTTCGTTAACGACAGTCTCGTGTTGGTGCATACAATATGGAGAGTCATGGTGACCGTTGAACTTGGAATTAACTATACGAACCTTCGGCTACGTTCTTTCAGATTTTTTGTATCGAACCTCCGAAAAGATATTGTTTAACGCGGACATAAATCTATAATCAGATACTATCAATACTAAGTTGAAAGCAATAATGTAAATAATTTATAGCATTATTTAAATGTCTAGTATTCTTTTCATAAATATTTCTATATTGTCTGACGGCCATTAATAATAACCATTATCTTATAGACTTGTACAATTTGTGAATGATTAATTAGATTTATCCGACTTTCCGAAAATGTCCCGATACTTACGAACGCGGATGTATGTACAACGTTCGATCTTGATGGCAGCAGAGCTAATTGATTAGGAATAGCTTTCTAGTCCATACCATCAGCACGATGACACTGATTAGTGGGTTCCATGTTCTATTTCTGGAAATACACGAACCATCAAGATTACTCTAACTTCTTCGTTGATTTACGATCAATAGTCGGTTGTATGCTGTAAATTTAGAACAATGCCTTCGTCTATTATTATTTGAGTTCTGTAGTTCATTCTATTTTTTCGTGAAAACAAAATCAATTATGAAACAACTTAGTAATTTATCAATCTGACTTTTCAATTTTCCCTACGCCATTCTCCAATTTCTCTGATCTCTCCGAATATTCTCATTATTTATAGGAGATGGCCTAATTAACTAATCGAATTACTCCAAATTGGAATGTTTATCGTGGTACATCGTGGGATGTTTATCAAAAGAACTAGTTCCGAACGCGTATGCAGCGACTCCACATCGGAGATCGACGCGGACATTGATTTTCCACGTAAATGCACCTAAATGGGTAGGGATAGTTCGAGCGAATTTTAGTGCCGGATCATTTTCAGCCCCCCCCCC